CCATTAGGGTTTATGGTGACTCGGGGTCGACGGAGCCACCTAAACCTAATCATTAGGGTTTATGGTGACTCGGGGTCGACGGAGCCACCTAAACCTAACCATTAGGGTTTATGGTGACTCGGGGTCGACGAAGCCACCTAAACCTAACCATTAGGGTTTACGGTGACTCGGGGTCGACAGAGCCACCTAAACATAGGCTTCCAATGCATGATATAACATAACCATCTAATAATCCAGTGCTAACATAACCATCATATAGTCTTCCAATGCTAACATAATCATCAAAACCTAGTGCATGAGAAATCATAATCTGAAGTCTAGCAAACATAACACAGAATATCCGATCTAGCAAACATAACACACATAACACACAATACTTACTACAGTTCAACATATTATAAAGTACACAACCATTGTTCACAATACATAGTGGAGTTTAGATGCATAGTTCATCCTTTTCTCACAAAAGGATGAAAAGCATATCTACTACATACATACACAGCCATAGTTCATCTTAGAGAAGTTCACATTTAGTAGAGCCATACACTACACAACCGTCATGCCCAAAAGGTCAGCATTGCCCACTACTCTCATATTCATTTTCTTCACTTCTCTAAGATGGCCTGGATCCCCTTGATCTTCTCCTTCAGCTTCTCCTCTGCCTTAATCAACCCAGCAATCTGAAGCTCTAGCTTCCCCTTCTCTTCACCATGCTTTTCCTTTCCCTTGAGCAAATCAGCAACCTGAAACTTCAACTCTAGCTTATCTTGGGTGAGCTTCTCCTCAGACTTTGTGAGCTCTGCATTCTTCAACTCCAAGTTCATCTTAGCTTCAGTAAGCAATTGCTTATCAGTAATATGCTTCAACTTCAGGTTCTGGATGACTGTAGCTTGAGCTCTTGTCAGGTTCAGTAGCACATCATAATTCTGCTTAAACTTCTCAAACTCTGCATCTTTCTTTGCCATCTGTGCATTCATATCAGCCACCAGTTCACTTCTGCATTCATGCTGATATGTAATGGCAGACTGCAGATGTCTGAAATCCACCACCCTATCCTCCTGGAAGCTCATAAGCTGATGCACATCTTGGACTAGCTTGTCATAGTTGGCCTCCAGGTTGTTCTTCTCTTCTGTTAGATGATGGATAGTGAAAAAACTTTTAAGATTGTCATTCACCCTAGCACTTTTGGCATCTTCAACCATTGCCCATAGCTTCAACAATGCATTCTGCATTGTTGGGGGCCACTGGTGATCAACCCATTCAACAAAGCCACAATTGCTACCTTCCTGCAAAAACAACAACAACAACAAAACAGTTCATACATCAAGTAATTACACAAAATCACTGCAGTTGCCAAAAAGAATGTCTAAATTTAGCATCAGACCACTACATTTAACAAGAGGAGCAGCCACTTGAGTAGCTGACTGACTAGTTTAGTTACTGTACTGTTCATATCAAGGAGTGTTCAAATATTTGTAAGCTACTCTACTACCACTATTAACATAAATTACTATGTTAGCACCAGACCACTACATTTAACAAGAGGAGCAGCCACTTGAGTAGCTGACTGACTAGTTTAGTTACTGTACTGTTCATATCAAGGAGTGTTCAAACATTTGTAAGCTACTCTACTACCACTATTAACATAAATTACTATGCCATTGTACTCCAGCAAAATATACTCATGCTTGACCTAAATAAGCTACTCTAACCACTATGAACCAAAATGTTGACAGCAAGCAGAGTACTCCAGCAAACAGAGTTCAATATGGCACTGACCAAGTAAGAAAAAAAATCAGTATGCCTACAATCCTACAATCCATACCGGCTGTGCACATGCTAAAAACCTCTTGCCTGTGTCTGTTCCTTCAAAGGCAACAAGCCTCTCAGATGCCATGCCGTGCTTCTCACATGGAGACATCACATCCAGCTCAAGCCCCTTGTAATCTGGATCTTCAATGCTGAAAGGGACCTGCAGAAGCTCGCACAAAGACAATGGCCAAATCAAAACCTAGCGATATCAACCAAATCAAGAAATCCCAAATCTGAAACCCTAACCCTAACCCTGTACTGACCTCGTTGAGACCGTCTGTGGAGGAAGACTGCATGTACGGGAGGCTAGAATGGTCGTCGCTGCTTTCGTCCTCCAAAACCATGGCGTCGGCGGGGCGGTGCGGCGGCCGGCAGTCGGGACGCGGGCGGCGGCGACGGAGGAAACGAGCGAGGAGGAGGAGGGGAGGGGAATGGTGCGGCCGGGCTGGAGCTGGTGCGACCGGACCAGGTTGGAGAGCAGCAGCGCACCGGCTCGTCCTAGTCAGCGCGCGGGCACACGCCGATTGGCCAGCGTGGCACCTGACGGGTGGGCCCGAGCTGTCGGATCGGGCGTCAATACGTATAAATACGTGTTTTAGCCTAATTTACAAAAACTTAGACCAATGTTGATACTGACACGCAAATATTAGCAATCATGGTACCAATCTGCATGTGATGCCCGAATTGTGATACTTATGTGCAATTAACTCGAGCTAATGCGCCAATTCCACAGGCTCGCCCGGTGCCTGGCCCGTCGTGTTAACAAGATTGGAAACGAGTTGCTACGACTGTATGCGGCAATGTCGCAGGTCGGCGTGGACAAGAAAGGAGGCAGCCCGTGACCGGAACGCGGCTGGTCTGACGGACGCGCACAGCGTGCAATCGGGCGGCGGGCCCGGTCCACGTGCCGCCGAGTCGGAGCGGCGTCACAGGCACCCAGCCGGATCGCGTACTGGTCGACGGCCACCGCCCCATCACCACGCACCGACGCCAGCCTGCCGCCTGCCGCCTGCCGTGGTCCCGCTCTAGGACGGACCCGTCGACTTAACCTTGCTTCCCGTTTGGGAGAAACCATTCATTCTCGGACGTCCAGTCCAGTACAAAATGCATATGCATGCGTGTGGCCTTCAACTTGCGTCTCGTTGCCTCGCCTGAAACCTGCGGCGTGATTCGTGCCGCGCGCGAGAGTCTATTTTCGTCTGGGGAAGCTCCTCTGATCTCACCAACCACAACCAGCCGGCTCGACGGAGGGAGGACAAGGAATCACGAGGGGGGAATGCAACCTGCGGGCGCGCACGTCGGATCCCGCCCCGAACATGGAATGGTCGGCGTGGCGGAGATACATACCAGGTCGACACGCGTCGACGGCGCACATGTACAAGGCAGCAGGGCTGTACCTGCCGCCAGACCGGCCCACGCGCGCACAATCGTTTCCGTCCCAGGCTCTTCCCGACCTCGCTCTCCCTCCCTCCTCGCGCTTTCCTCCTGCATCAGGCACAAAACCCTCGATCCAGAAGCACACGCAACGCAGCCCAACCAACGGCTGTAACTGTCGTCGGTCGTCACCATTGCCGCCCCCCCTTAAATATCCCAAAACACCACCCCAAGCCCAAAAACGCAAGCAAAACGCAGCGCAGCGAAGCGAGCGACAAACACACTCCGTCCACACAAACAGGCACGCGAGCGGGTGAGCATCGAGAGGTCAAGCTAGCATTTCCCCATTGCCTGGCTGGAATTGGAGCTTCAAGCTATCTGCGTCCACACTCCTCGAGTATTCCGGCCATGGCCGTGGCGGAGCCGTCAAGAACAGGGTCGCCTCCTCGCGTCCTCCTCCTCGTCTACGCCGTCCTTCTCACGGCCACAGGTGAGCGCCGTGCAGCTCTGTGACTATACATCCTCCCATATATATTCGCACACCGGCGGAACGCCGTTGCATATTCGCACGGACTAGAGAGGGTTTTGCGAGGCATACAGAGAGTTGGATGTCTAAGTCGGGTACATGATCATCGCATGATGCTCCAAAGGGCCTTGTGATCGATCTGTTGTTGACCCCGTAGAGCTAACTGGTTTCGATTTGGGCTCAAACTCAAAGTACACGATCCTTTATTAATTCTCCTCGCAAATGCCTTGCACGCCACTGTTGCTGCACTCTGGTGTTTACTTGTGCTTTCTGGCATTCCATTGTCATCTATCAAACTTATTGCACCACATCATTTCCTGTTTTCTCTGTACCCAGTTTCTGTCTGATATCTGATACATTTATTTTATCAATTTTGCTAAAGCACATCTAGATGTGCCATAAGTATTGCACATCTAAGTCATATGTCATTGATCTCACATTGAGATTCGTGTGATTTTTTTTTCTTTATGCTTGATTCACTCATTTAGATGTGCAATAACTAGAGCACATCTAGATGTTCCAAGCCCCCGAAATTAAAATTTAATCCCGGCTGCCTGATTTCCAAGTAAGGGCATGACATGACGATCTAGCTAGCCATCGATAGTGGTTGTTAGGTGTACTTGCTGAGATTATCTTATCACTTATCTGGACGTAGTACGTTTTAAACGAATATCCGGGGGAGCTCACATGGTCCCTCAAGGTGCTCCATGGCGTAAGGAAGGCTGCCCACTAGGTACCACTTGGGAGCATCTCCCAAATCCCAATACCAAATCCAAGCCATTCTGGCATTATTTTCCCTTTGCTTTCCTTCCCGAATTGACGTGGATCCGATCTGGTGCTGAGCTGCGATGACTTTCCCCGTAAAGTATCGCCCAAAGGGTGCCCAAGTGGCTTGCTGATTACAGTTCTTGAGCTAAACCTGGCGTACTTTTGGATGGCTTGTGGCCACTGGATGGCTGGTACAAAATGTAACACTCTAGAAAGGTGTTTGACAACGTACGTGGTCTTTATATTGGCTTGATTCTTGGTAGGATGCCCCAATCACACGCTCTTTCATATGTGGACCCGAGCTTTCACTGTTTCGTGCAATTAAACAAGTACTCCCTGATGTTCTAACTTTTTTTTTAAATCAGATATATGTAGACGCATTTTGATGTGTTTGTTCATTCATTTCAGTTCATCCGTAGTTCATATTAAAATATTTAAAGCATCTTATAATATAATAGTGAACGAAGGAAAGTACTAACGTGTGTGCGGAGATAGATGTAGCTTAGATTTTTGTTCATTTTATTTTGAACCTTTGAGGACGTATCTCCAATTGGACGAACTTGATGTATGTTTCGTACTAATATGCTCCAAGCGACCATAATCAAATTATTAATCACGATCTCCAATTAGTCATGATGAATATAGTGAACCTCATCGTCAAGATCTCCCGTTACTAGTCATCTTCTCGTTTTGCCTGTGAGCGAAATGCAGTTTCTGTCTGTGTGAACTTGATGTTGATGCATGCATGCATGCAGATCGTGGTTTTCTGACTTGTTAGTACAATGGCAGCAGATGGGGCGCTGGCAGCCGGGGGCCTATCGATCGGCATCAACTACGGGCAGATTGCGGACAACCTCCCTTCGCCGTCGCGCGTGTCCATGCTCCTCCGGTCGATGCAGGTGAGCAAGGTGAAGCTCTACGACGCCGACCAGAACGTGCTGAGCGCGTTCCTGGACACGGGCGTGGAGTTCGTGATCGGCATCGGCAACGAGAACGTGTCGGCGATGACGGACCCGGCGGCGGCGCGGGCGTGGGTCCAGCAGCACGTCCGGCCGTACCTCCCGAGCACGCGCATCACCTGCATCACCGTCGGGAACGAGGTGTTCAAGGGCAACGACACCGCCCTCAAGGACAGCCTCCTGCCGGCGATGAGGTCCGTGTACCAGGCGCTGGGCGCGCTGGGCCTGCAGGGGCAGGTGAACGTCACCACGGCGCACTCCCTGGACATCATGGGCAGCTCCTACCCTCCCTCCGCCGGCGCGTTCCGGCCGGACGTGGTGCCCTACATCCAGCCGCTCCTCGACTTCCTGTCGGCGGCGAGGTCCCCGTTCCTCATTAACTGCTACCCCTACTTCGCCTACAAGGACGACCCCGCCGGCGTGCCGCTGGAGTACGTGCTGTTCCAGCCCAACGCCGGCGTGACGGACCCGACCACGGGGCTCAACTACGACAACATGCTGTACGCCCAGGTGGACTCGGTGTACGCCGCGGTCCAGGCGCTGGGCCACACCGACGTGGACGTGAAGATCTCCGAGACCGGGTGGCCGTCCAGGGGCGACCCCGACGAGGCCGGCGCCACGCCGCAGTACGCAGGGATCTACATCGGGAACCTGCTGCGGAGGATAGAGACGAAGCAAGGGACGCCGCTGCGGCCGGCGGTGCCCATAGATGTCTACGTCTTCGCGCTCTTCAACGAGAACCTCAAGCCGGGGCCGGCCTCCGAGCGGAACTACGGGCTCTTCTACCCCGACGGCACGCCGGTCTACGACGTCGGCCTGCGCGGCTACCTCCCGCCCATGGATGAATCGGACGCCACGCGGACGGTAAGGCCCGCCCTTCGGGATCCGTCTTTGTGAGATTCTGCAAGTTCGTTGCAAACTTTCTGAATGTGGATCATACATACGTCGTCCGAGAATATTTGGTGCCTTGCTCTTTACGAGACGGCACTGTCGTCTTTGGCATTTCTACTTTGTGTGAGACCTCAGCCTGACGTGCCTGGAAATGGCCTCTGTCTTTTGCAGGCGATTCACTTGTTGGCGCTCATCGCCTTGGCATTTGTCGCCCTCGTCTTATCCTGAGAGTATATACTGCTGACCACTGCAGACCGCAGTAACGCGAGCGAAGATGTTGACCCTGAGCGAAGATCTTTTTGCTGCTAGGGATTTCACTAGCAGATCAGAAGGTGAGATAGATGGCTGAAAAACCTGCTTTTGGGAATTGCTTGTGGGTAACATTTGCTGCTTCCACCCAAGCAACGTGCTATTTCGCTGGAAAAAACTAACCGACGTGCTTTGTTTCTCCAGGATGCTCGTGACCATCAGAAACGCACAGCTAGCCCTGGCAAATCACTCTTGTCATTTCGGCAGCATGCCAGGAGCTGTAGCTGTTAACTACATACATACATACATACATACATATATACATACATACATACTGAGAATGAAGTTTAACTAACTGCTTGGGCATGATAGATGGCCAATATTTGTACAAACAACAATCATTTCATAGGATTCCTCTTGATTCATTCTGGAGATATCTTCTCTGTACATGAAGCTGTATAGTATTTGTACATAGGACAAAAATATTCAGGACAAGGCTGCCAATTTATCACGTGTACTGTTCTTCTCGTGATACTTCTTAAGAGCATCACCGACCCTCAAATCGGACATCACATCCGTCTGTGGACAGTGGTCCGGACTCTGGACACTGATATGGGGTCACATTTGATGTAAATTTAAACAAACTTGACAACTTTCATTCAAACTTAGATATTTTTTACATATAACCGGATAATTTTTCACTAGTAGGAAACAGGGCTTTGGTCACAGCGCCATATACACATTAGTCCCGGTTGCATTACGAACCGGGACTAATGTGAGCATTAGTCCCGATTTGAGCGGCTAAAGGTCTAATCTTTAGTCCCGGTTTGAGACACGAACCGGGACTAATGTGAGCATTAGTCCCGGTTCGAGCGGCTAAAGGTCTAATCTTTAGTCCCGGTTTGAGACACGAACCGGGACTAAAGGGTGTGATGCCCTTTTGTCCCGGTTCGTGTCTCAAACCGGGACTAAAGGGCCATTTCTCAGGCTCTAGCCCCCCCTCCCGTGTATCGCTATTTCAGTTTTGAAAAAAACAAAAGAATATGATAAAAACTTAAAAAAAATAAAATCCTTCGAGGTGTAGTTATATTACTATATCTATTAGTTAGGAAAATAAAAAAACTTAAATTTGGACATGTTTTGTAAAAAAGTAAAACGGCTATAACTTTTGCATACGATGTCAGAAAAATGTATAATATATCAAAATGTTCAGCACGAAAACCCGCATCCGATGTTGACAGCCTACAACCTATTTGCAATTTTTTAGAATCCTCAAATTCTAAAAGGAAAAAAAGTTATGCTCAAATTTCTTCTTTTTGAATTTTGGTTAAATCTGGTCAAACTACTTATTCAAGAAGTATTAGTGTTACTACATAATTATTCAAGAATATTAGTGTTACTAAATAATTAATTCATTTTTTTAAATTTTGGTCAAATCTGGTCAAACTACTTACTCAAGAAATATTAGTGTTACTAAATAATTATTGTTTTTTAGAATAATAGTTTCAAACTCAAACAGTGAAACATGTGACTTCATGCTCAAGCTAAACTTTTGAGGGTTAATAGGATTGACATCTTACTATTGTCAGGAAAACAACAAGTGCGGACTTGGAAACGAGGGGGAATAGAACCCGAAAGTTAAGCGTGCTCAGGCTGGAGTAGTGAGAGGATGAGTGACCGGTCGAGAAGTTAGATGGTTTGGAATGATGAGGGGTGATTAGAGATTAGAGGTTCGATTGAGCAGCGATGAGGGGTGATTAGAGATTATAAAATAATTCATAAATTTGAAATAAAAAAAATAAAAAAAATCGTAAAATTTTCTTTAGTCTCGGTTGGTGTTACCAACCGGGACTAAAGGTGGAGCTCCAGACAGCAGCCACATGGAGGGCCTTTAGTCCCGGTTCGTGTAAGAACCAGGACTAAAGGAGGGGGGGCCTTTAGTACCGACCCTTTAGTCCCGGTTCCAGAACCGGGACTAAAAGCCCTCACGAACTAGGACAAATGGCCCTGTTTCTACTAGTGTTCATCTAAACCGAAGCACATTCATTACATTTTCGACATATTTCAACTCAATTATAATGGACTCGGCTATTATAACCTAGTCTAAAAGAGCGCCAGCCGCCGCCGTGCCCGTTTCCCACGACATGTCTTTCTCATGGCCGGCAACAAGCTCACTGGACGACCCTGAGCCCTAGAAAATGAAGCTTCAACGGGAGGGGAAGAGTAGCCTCCACATCCACGAAGCGGGCAAGCTAATCGGCCGACGATGAGCCCACCAAGTTTCTAATTACTAGCTATCTATGAGACTTTGTGTGTATGATATGTTCAAATTTTTGGATCTTCTGAATGTTTAAATATTTGTGCAAATATCGCAGAAACTAGTCGTTGCACCCACTTGTTCGCTCTAGGGGAAACCGATGCCTCTCACTTTGTCTGTGGACTAGTAGTTGGGAATCTAGATGAGATGTCCTAAGCTCGGACAGTGCACATCCTCAATTTTATTATAGGCTCTCGGGCAATACACTAATTAGGTCAAATCATTAGGTTAATTCTGCTCTACAACGAGTTGTTCTAAGGAGCCTCGAGCTAGACGATGGCCTTGTGTAATTAGGTCAAATCATTAGGTTAATCCTTCTCAACAACGAGTTGTTTTGGGGAGCCACGAGGTAGACGATAGCTTTGGGCTAGGCTAGGTTGCTACAGGTTCTTGGCCCAAAAGGGAAGGTGGTTTGGTTTCCCTCCTTTCTTCTTTTCTATTTCAGCTTTCTTTCGAACATCTTCTGAATTTCGTTTCTAATTCAAAAATAAAACTTCAATTCCCTTGTGAAAGTGCAACTATCCCTAGGTGGTTTTGGTAATTCATAATAACATATAGCTCATTGAGCTAATGCTATTCCAAGATGATTATTTCAGGAAAGCTCAATGATTGGCATGGCATGGATGTGAAAGTGGAACCCTCAAAATGCTAAGGACAAAGGATTGGCTCAAGCTCAAAAGCTCAAGACTCTTCATTTTATATTTTAGTGATCCAAGATCACATTGAGTCTTTAGGAAAAGCCAATACTATCAAGGAGGGATGAGGTGTTGCTTAATGAGCCTCTTGCTTCATGTGCTTAGTGATATGCTCCAAAACCCTCAACTACTTTCCCATATCCACATATGACCTAAACCCTAAGCCAAACTCGGTCCTACCGATTCTTCCTATCCGGCGCCACCGAGTTTCACTTGTCATAAGCCACTGCCAAACCCTAGCAATTCGGTTCTACCGATAGGGATCTCGGTCTCACCGAGATGGGATTGCAAACTCTCTATTTCCCTTTCGTAACTTTTCGGTCTCACCGAAAGAGCGAATCGGTCCCACCGAGATTGCAATGTAAATTCAGTGTTTCCCCTTTGTAACTTTTCGGTCTCACCGAAAGAGCAAATCGGTCCCACCGAGTTTGCCTGACCAACTCTCTGGTTAGCTAATTACCAAATTCGGTCTCACCGAGTTTGTGTAATCGGTCTCACCGAGATTACGTTATGCCCAAACCCTAACCATATCGGTCCTACCGAGTTGCATGTCAGTCCCACCGAAAATCTCTAACGGTCACTAGGTTTACATTTTCGGTCCGACCGAGTTTGTTGATTCGGTCCCACCGAGATTGGAAAACTGTGTGTAACGGTTGGATTTTGTGTGGAGGCTATATATACCCCTCCACCTCCTCTTCATTCGAAGAGAGAGCCATCAGAACACATACACCATTCCAACTCATATGTTCTGAGAGAGAACCACCTACTCATGTGTTGAGACCAAGATATTCCATTCCTACCATATGAATCTTGATCTCTAGCCTCTCCAAGTTGCTTTCCACTCAAATCTTCTTTCCACAAAACCCAAATCCTATGAGAGAGAGTTGAGTGTTGGGGAGACTATCATTTGAAGCACAAGAGCAAGGAGTTCATTACCTACACACCATTTGTTACTTCTTGGAGAGTGGTGTCTCCTAGATTGGCTAGGTGTCACTTGGGAGCCTCCGACAAGATTGTGGAGTTGAACCAAGGAGTTTGTAAGGGCAAGGAGATCGCCTACTTCGTGAAGATCTACCGCTAGTGAGGCAAGTCCTGTGTGGGCGATGGCCATGGTGGGATAGACAAGGTTACTTCTTCGTGGACCCTTTGTGGGTGGTTGCTTCTTCGTGGACCCTTCGTGGGTGGAGCCCTGTGTGGACTCGCGCAACCGTTACCCTTTGTGGGTGGAGCCTTGTGTGGACTCTCGCAACCGTTACCCTTTGTGGGTTGAAGTCTCCATCAACGTGGATGTAGGATAGCACCACCTATCCGAACCACGGGAAAAACATCCGTGTCTCAAATTGCGTTTGAATTCTCCAAACCCTTCCCTTTACATTCTTGCAAGTTGCATGGTTTACTTTCCGCTGCCAATATACTCTTTGCATGCTTGCTTGAATTGTGTGATGATTGCTTGACTTGTCCTAAAATAGCTAAAATCTGCCAAGAACTAAAATTGGGAAAAGGTTAAGTTTTTATTTGGTCAAGTAGTCTAATCACCCCCCTCTAGACATACTTTCGATCCTACAAGTGGTATCAGAGCATTGGTCTCCATTTGCTTTGATCTCCATAGCTTTTGGTGGTCATAGCCTTGGTTTCACAACCTAGGAGAGTATGGCGTCTAGCGAGGGAAATTATCACCGTAGAGGTCCCTACTTTGATGGTACTAATTTTGCTAGTTGGAAGCATAAAATGAAAATGCATATTCTTGGACATAACCCCGCCGTTTGGGCTATTGTGTGTGTTGGTTTGCAAGGTGAATTCTTTGATGGGAGAGAACAAAACCGTGAAGCTACCGCGGATGAGTTGAAGATGTTGCAATACAATGCTCAAGCTTGTGATATTCTCTTCGACAGATTGTGCCCCGAAGAATTCAACAAAATCAGCCGTCTTGAGAATGCGAAGGAAATTTGGGACACTTTGATTGATAT